GGGGGTTAATGGGGGGGAATGAGGACACATTTGTAATACCTTAACTAATACAGAATTTAAAGATTTTAAAAAAATAAAAAATAAAAGTCTTTAGGAGGATAAAAAAAAATAAAATCAAAAATAAAATTTTAAAAAAAGCTGCAGAGAGCAGGGGCCACGGCAGAGGCGGCAGGCGGGGCCAGGGCCAAGGCCCTTGCATGAATTTTGTGCATCAGGCCTCTAGTGTGTGTGTGTGTGTGTGGGTGTGTGTGTGTGTGTGTGTATTCTCATCTATCCTTAAACCATCCCTATGGGGATATATTATTAGCTCTATTTACAGATAGGGGAAGTGAAGGTTAAACAGGTTAACTTACCAAGGTAACAGTCTGAATCCTATGTAACAGGAGCTGTGTGCTCAGGTACAAGCTCAGCCCAGCCTAACGCTTCCACAGAGATGGGAACTTCAGGCTGCTCTCAATGATGTGAGCTGACAACCTGCGCTCAGCGTACCTCTCCTGCATGGCTGTCCACTCTCCCTCTCCCCTAACCTGCCGGCCCTGAACTACGAGGCTATTTGTTTGTGCAAGTGTTCACTTTGATGCAGGCAATCCCTCCCATCCTCTGGGAGGCCAGTGTTCTGATGCTTTTGTGATATCCCACTTTCTCAATTCAGGAGTATCTGAATAAGCTCATGTTTATTACCCGTGTAGGAATGTTTACTGGAACTCACAGTGGGGCACACAATTGAAGAAAAACAATGCTTGCCCGGCCAGTGTGGCTCAGTGTTTGAGTGTCAATCTCTGAACCAGAAGGTCATGGTTCAATTCCCAGTCAGGGCACATGCCCAGGTTGTGATCTAGATCCCCATTGTGGGGTGTGCAGGAGGCAGCCAATCAATGGTTCTCTCTCATCATTGATGTTTGTATCTCTCTAGCCCTCTCCTTTCCTCTCTGAAATCAATAAAAATATTTTAAAAGAAAAATATAAAGAATGCTTTAATATAATATTTTGAAAAAAATCAAAGTTAATGTAAAAATATTTATTTTAAATAAAGACGGGAGATCCTCCCCACATCTGCACCACTCACCCCACCCCCTCACCTAGCCTCAGTCCTGTCGGATCCTGGCTATGTTTAAATTATTGACATTCTGTTCATTGTGAATGTTTTTTGCATTGATTTTTTTTAAATATGGTACTAAAACATTATTTATCCTGATGACAGAGGGGTTTTATTTGAGTCCCCTTAAATTTTGTACCCAAGGCCTCCCTCGCCTCACCCTATCCCAGTCCAGGACTGAGTATATAAAAGACAGAATTGCAGACCGTAGGCCCCGACTCCCAGTTTCCCCATGTCCTTCCCTGTCTCTCTTTATGTTAGTTCAGTGGTTCTCAACCTTGGCTGCACATTAGAATCACCTGGGAATCTTTTTAAAATCCTGATTTCTGGGCCTCATCCTCCGGAAATTCTGTTTCTTTGTTACTAATGTTGTGGCCTCACCCCATAACAAAGAAACAGAATTTCCGGAGGATGAGACCCAGAAATCAGGATTTTAAAAAGATTCCCAAGTGATTCTAATGTGCAGCCAAGGTTGAGAGCCACTGTGTTAGTTTGCCACGTCAGCCGCACCAAATAAGTGACCGCCACATGCACTCAAGTGCCTAGCGGAGCCGTGAGGAAGGAGGAGAGTCTCTCCGCCGGGCGGCAGAGCCAGAGGAAGGCTTTGGCTGTGTTTCTTGCTCTTTCTTACAGGACACTTCTTATTCCATCAGCTAAGCACTTTGCCGAGAGGGAAATTCCTACCTTTGACACCCTCCAGTCAGTGTTGACATGTAATTTTAATTATTCAATTCCTATCACTGTTTCTCTAAGGCAGGGTTCTCGGTCTTTAAAAAACTAATCCCTGTGCCCAGGCTGCTTCCAAGATCCATTAAATCAGTGTCTCACGAGGCAAGAGCCTGGTGTCCGCAATCTTTACAGCCTCCTGGTGAGGCGGTGTGCAGGCAAGGTTGGGAACCATTGCTCCAGTGCATGGCTGACTTTTCCTTTTCCTCTGTCGGAGGGTTTTCCCTGTGGTCCCTCCCAGAGGACATCAGCCAGGGCTCCAGGGGCGGAGGGAGCCGCATTCAACCCCTGGCTTTCCCACAGACTAGCTTTGTCATCTTCACAAGATACTTGATTTTTGTTTCCTCAGCTGGACCCTGGGGATAGAAACAGTATTTACCCCGTGGAGTTGTTTGAAGGAATCAAGCCGAGGCGTCTGAGACACCGAGCCCAGCGCTTGGTGCGTGTGCCTGCACGCACGCTCACTGGGAGCTGTTAGCGTGATGAGTTATGAATCCATCCTGCCAACAAGATGGCAAGGAGCCAGTGAATAAACAGATAAAGGTGGAGCTGCTCTGTCGGGAGCCCGTGGCGGGGCGACACTCAGACCCCACTCTCCTTCCCAGGGTGCTCTGCAGAACCCCGAGGGGCTCTGGGAGGCAAGTTGAAGATCACTAGTACATAATGACATCACGGACCCAATTTTACAGTTTAGAGTGGCTCTTTCTGCCTCGGCACTCCTGTCGCCCATTTCTGATCTCTCTTCTGGTGGCAGGCATCGGCTGGCCAGGTTCAGGGCCACTCTGCGGCCACAGGACCCAGGGCTGCTTGGCCCAAGTGGCCTCCGTGGCCTCAGGCTTATTTGTGGAGTAAGCCGCCGAATTCACGGACCCACCGAAGGAGGTTGCTCTAAATGCCCAGTCCCCTGGCTGGTGAATGTCCGTTTGGCTTCGAGGTGTGTGGTGGCGGCTGGAGGCTTGAATGTGTTTCCTGTTGGAAAGCACAAGGGTATTGAAGTGCCAGGTGGGGGAGGATCCCGAGGGCGTCCAGGCGGGGCGAGGACCCTCCCTCTGGGAAAGAGCGGTTGCCTTTGTTCCCATCTGAGAGTGGCTGTGCTCTCTATTCGTTTCGTGGGCAGTGTTGATTGTTTCACCCCAATGAGTCCAAAGTCTCGGCCCAGTTGAGAGACCCTGGCCAGCCTCGGGCTGACTCCGAAGGGGAGGCAGAAGGGTTAGACAGGGCCAGTGTGGCAGGTTGGCTGGGCCTCAGACTCGTCTGTACCACGAAGTCGAAGTCGGCTGTGGTTCCTCTTCCCTGAGAGAGGCCCGTCTGGGTCCTGCTGGCCCATGTGTTACTCCCATCGCTTCCTTTCTTCCCACCAATCGAGTGTCTTTCTCTTTTTGCAGAAAGGGGCACTCCTTGTACCGAGCTAACCGCTGAATAAACTACCCGATAGTAAGAGTGTTTTGTTTTTTCCTCCCCCGAGCCCATTTCCAGGCCTGTGTGGGAAGAAAGGTGATATTTCACCCCAGCCTGAGTGGAAAGTGTATGCCTTGATTGTTCTTTAGAGAAGCTATTTTAGTGAGACGCGTAGTCGTTGGGCTCTTTAATTGCAGGTAACAGAAGCCAACTTGTGGCGGCTGCAGCCACAGAGAGGAATTTATTATAAGGATAAAGGAGCATCTCATGGAAGCGACGACAGGAGTGTGGCCAGGCCTCAGGAAGGAACTGAGGCCTGGAGAGCTGCCAGGACACCTCCGCGTGTTTCATCTCTGACGCTTCCCATGTGTGCTCTCTTTGTCTCTCTCGCTAACTGGTTTTCACTGCCTCTGTCCACAGGGAGAAACGCTGCTGTCACTCAGAGGGTACGCTCTTCACCTCTGGCCAGGATGACTAGTGGCTTTCAGTAAAGATTCATGGGAAAAAGAACCTGGTGGGTCAGATTCCCCCAGCGATGGTCTGTGGACAGATGGCACAGTGGCCGTCTTCTCATCCAAGGTTTCCAGATCTGGCTGATGATTAGAGTCCCTAGTGGGAGATTTTTGCTTTTATTTTTACATACAGACCCAGGTTCCACCTTAGAATCTATAGCAGTAGGAGCTGGGACTCTGCACTAAAAATTCCTCCAGAGATTCTGATGATAAATGAGATTTGAGAGCCAATGAAACCCAAGTCTTAGGTACCCATTAATCTTTCTCCTAAGGACTCATGAGAGACTGCCTTTTAAGCTGTCTATTTGTGGAGGCTATTACTATAGGGCTGGAATGCACAATTCATTTCAGTGCAAATATAGGTGAGTGGGATGGGGAACTCCCTACCCCACTGAGCACTTGCAAAAGAACCAGTCTAGTGGAAATCTGAGAAGCCGGCTAGAGCTGGATCTAACATCACTGTTCTTAAAGGCTTCATGTTCAGCACTTTTAGACAAGATTTCAAGAACCGTGCTTACCAGGTGAAATCTGGCTGAGTGTTAGCCAAGCAGATGATACAGCAGTGTGGGCCAGTGTGAGTCAAGAACAGGTTAGAACCTAGGGCTTCAGAATGAGGAAAAATAGAACTCTGCTGGGAAAATGCAATCGTAGAGAATCAAGTTGTGTTTTATGTTCCTACGTTTTTATTTCTCACACAGGCTGATACCTAAACTATCACCGCTTGTAATGTCTACTGGCTTGTTCCTTAAGACTGAACTTGTGTCTCCACTGAGAGAAAGCCTTCTCTGACTCCTCAGTCCCCTAATCATCGCTTCTGCCCCTATAATACCCTCTGCGTACCTTGACCACATAGTGGGTTGTACTCGTTTTACTTCTCCATCGCCTCCACTTGATGATGGGGAGTTGGCACTTCGGTACCTAAACCTACATGAAGGTTGGCGTGAACTGTCCTACTGAACTGATGTAGGACATGCCTGCTAATTTGGCCCCTGGCAGCCCTTCTGTCCCTCACATCCCCTTAGTCCCATAGTCAAAGCCATTTTGCTTTTGCCAACAATCTCAATACCATTCCAGGTTCTGGGAGCACTCATCCCTTAATCATGGAAAATTTAGGGAGCCCTGCATCCAGTGTGCCATGCTAGTATGACACCCTGATGAATCTGGAAGATGTTTTACTTGTGTTTTACTCTACGATACTCTAGCTAAATCAGCCATACTTCACTAGGCATGATTCATATATTACCTCATTTAATTCCCACAACAAGCCTACAAAGAATGCTTCATGGGAAAAACTGGGAGTCAGAAAGGTTAAGTAACTGACCTAAGCCACACCACCAGTAAGTGTCAGAACCAAGATCAAAACCCAGATGTGACCCAAAACCTTATGCTCTTAAACACCAGGCTGCACTTGAGTTCTTTTTTAAACTTACAGTCAGATGCTTAGTTAACTAGTTACTTTATATAGCTGGTTATCATTCCCTGTGTATGCCTCATAGCTGAGTGTCTGCCTCATTTTCTCAATTAGAATAAAATAGTATTTGTTGGCTGTATATAATCAATATAATTATATTGATCTGAACTAAAAAAAAATAGTGCCTAACCTTCTCTTATTGGTTATCAAGTACAGAATGATTTCCTACACGTAGCTATTTGAAAGTTTCCAACAGAATGTAAGCCTAGGCCTATTTGCATCTCATCCACTTGCCATGGCTGAGGAAAAGATTTCTCATAGCTGTCCCCATTTTCCACAAGATATTCCTGAACTTCAAGGAAGTCCAGTGTGCTGATTTAGAAGTGGCCCTACACAGTAGGGTCTGAGAATACTTACCAAGAGAGGTGATGGAGCCAGCCACAGCTCTCAGAATAGTCATAACTGAGTCACAAAAGAACCACACAAGCTGGGCCTGAAATTGGGCCGTTAGGGGAGGGCACAGTATACAAATTTCCCAACATGCCAGCTACATATCTGACATCCCACACAAGAAAACCTTCTTCTCTGGTCTTAAAGGAGGGGTTCTAGGAGACACAAGAGTTCTACAGGATATCAGAAATGGTTTGCATCAATGACAAGTGGGGAAGTCGAAAACTAAATTTTAAATAAACCATAATTATGCAGCCTCTCCTCACTGAAACGTGGTTCAAAGGCTAGAAACCTAGAGATGAACTTGGACCTAAGAGTAGAATCAACCCCACCTATACCGACAAAAGACATGAAACGTAGACTGCAAGGGGGCAGGGGCAGGCCTCTCTCTCCAGAGGCTGCACTAGTCCAGTGCCTTGCAGAGATGACATGTACCAGGCAGATACATGATCCTACCTTTGGGAGAAACAGAGGGACAGGCTGATTCAAGCAGGCTCAGGTGTCACCTTCTGAAAATATAAAGTTTTCCTCCAGCTTCATGAGCAAACTTTTCATTCCAGATGCAAAGGGCAATGCATCGAGGCTTCCTCCAAGGGCAGAAAGCCACAGCAGCCTGCAGTGGGAAAGTGAAGCAACCCATAAGCATAAAGAACAGGTAACTGGCACCTTTGCCCCAGATTTTGAATGTGAGTGATGAGCAGGTGACAGAAGTACAGGTTGGGAGGAGGGAGAAGGGAGGGGATAGCCATGTGTTTGTTTCTTAATATATCAACTCTAAATGCTGGACACACTCTTAGCATATCCAGTAAGCTGGTAGAAAAGCAGTTCTGGAACTCAAAATAGAGGTCTGGGCAATAGATTTTAGGAACCATTAGCAGGGAGGTGAGAGTATCCTATGTGTCAGAGAAGACAAGAAATCAAGGTGAGGACCAAGGACATGAGCTTAGGGGAACATGCACTGGATGAGGCCTTCTGGTTACACAGTCCCCAAGTTCCTCCTCTTCTTTCTACAGAGATTCCCCTCGGCCCTGAGAAATCCCTAATGCTCTCCTTATTCTATTCCCTTCTACCTTGAACAGAAGTAGTAAATCTTCTCCCCAAACCTGACAGTCAGATAGAGCCTTGGAATAAATGACTTCACTCTGGTTTGTAAAAGGCCATAAAGAATGTTGTAGTAGAGTGATCTTTGAGTGGATTAATAACCTTTCTCCAGAATAAAGAACTGTGGTGTTTAAAACAACGTAAGATTCTTATTGCGTCCCATTAATCTGTATAGTTGAGAAAAAAATTACTTATGAGAATGGTTTAAATTGTTACGTTGGTACTTTATTACATCTAATTTTCAAAAGCTCCCCTTCCTTCTCTCCTCCCCACACACTAACTGGTAGAACAGAAGGAAGTTGCCTGTATGAGGAATGTAGGACTTAAAGCAAGTTTTATGACTTAAGGCCTATTTATTATATTTTACCTGTCTTTCCTGAATTTCCTGAACCATCATTAAGTTATTGTTTGAAGTTCCCACATTCTTCTCCCTAGACACACAGTATGAACAAGAAGCCGTGGTCACTGCGTTCTTTATACATTTGGCGCAAGCTCACAGAAGAGCCGTGTAATCACTGGGACACTCAGCAGAGCAAGCGATTGGGTTTCAGCTGTCTGCACTGGGAACTGTTTCCTAACATTATATATACCTAGCATGTGGGCAGTTTCAACACGGCTCGGGACTGAATAAGCACTAGACTGAGGTGGGAAGAATGCTAACCCAGGTTTCTTGACATTATCAGATAAAGGGAACTCAAGAGGCTTGGTGTTGGCTTGTTGACAGATAAGCTTTCTGACATTAATGCAGGTTGGTTTGTTTTACACTCCCCCTACAAAAGATTAACCCAGTTTTCCCAGTGCCCATGAAGGAAGTCCTGAATAAAAGCTTTTATCAAATGTGAACTAAAAAAAAAAAAAAAGCACAAATCACTGATGGAAACATTTTACAAACATACAGAAATTTTCAACACTCTGGACCAGAGGTCTTCATATGGGGTATATCTAACCCTATCAACGGAACCTCAAAACCTTCCAGAGGGCCCTTGAGCAAGGTAACATCCTCACCTTTTACACATACCCTTCCCTCAAACTAAGCAATGTGAAAAACAACAGAACACCACATCGCCAATATTTCTCCCCTTCTACAAACCAGAGGCACACAAGTTTACAAGGGGCTCAAGTTGCTTCCTTGGGGCTTCCTAGCCTTCCCTGTTCTATATTTCTATTAAGAGAGATTTAGAAATGGGGTATTTGAGAATTGTTAGGATTTCAAAAGTGGGATATGTGGTAACGTGGGGGACAGTGGAAGTAAAGATTGTTATTTAACAAGTGGGCCACTCCCATCTCCAGATTCCTGCCAGGGAAGGAATATATCACTCTTGATGGAAGCCCCACCAGCAAAGCAGCAAAGAAATATAGAATGCTACAAATAGCTTTTCTCATAAGTAATTTCCCCTGTATTTAAAATATTCATTTTTACAACACTCACTGACTGAAAAGTACTTTTGGACAGTCAAAACAAGAATAGTTTAGTGATGCCGATAATTTTAAACATAACTTGGAATATTTTTCAGGACTACCAGAATTTTCATGATGCACTAAATAAAACCTGTGGACAATACTTTTCATGATGTTATCATGACATATTTATTCTAAATACAATAAATCTCCATTTAATTAGTCTCATGAACTTATTAATATCACCTATTAACAGAAAGTAAATTAAGATTTTAGTTGCCACACCAGTTAAATGATAAAAATAACATTGAATTATTTTATTTTTTAAAAAAATATGTATTCTCTGTGATTTTTTTATTGCTTTGAGTAATCTTTTACAAGGAGTGTTCTGTGATAGTCTTAATGACTTTTATAATATTCTTTAAAATTCATTAACACAGCATTTGAATTTTCAAGTCAGACTTTTTCTGACAGAAAGGCAGTCTAAGTTGGTTATTTGAGATGGTTGGTTATTTGAGACGGTGGATTAAATCTGGTTTTGAATAATTATATATTTAATGAAATATCTATTATGATAAAAATATATTTAGAACATTAATCCTACCCAAATATATCTGAAAAGGTGTTTTGAAGGTAGTAGGTTGGATTTTCCAACTGGATTATTTTACTGGATCAAGTAGTTTTTCTAAGTGAAAAACTAACAGGTACAATTAATAATCATTTGATAGTCTTGGTAAAGCCTGTTGGGTTTAAATGCCCAAATTTGAGAATGAACAATTCTAAATAACAAAGTCTTCTAAAAGTCAGGCAGCTTCTAATTCTCTGTTTTCAACAAAAATAAACAATAAGCTAATCGTGTCAACTGAAAGCTAACTAAAGACAATGTGACTTTTAGTATTGAATTTAAAGAACTGAATAAAACTATTTTGATAAAGCTACTTCCATTCCCATCTCTTTATTTAGGAGCTATTTTTCAGCATCTACATAGATAGAAATAAAAGACATAAATAAAATTGACACTGAACCCTCTTTCATTCTAGCAATGCCATAATCATCCAAGGGCACATAAACTAATCAGAAAAATTAATCACATTAAAAGAGGACTTTTCCCCCCTTTTTATTGAATTTATTGGGGCAACGCTGGTTAACAAAATTATACAGGTTTCAGGTGCACAATTCTACAACATATCATCTGTACACTGTATTGTATGTTCACCACCCCAAGTCAAGTCCATCACCATTTATCCCCCCATACCCTCTTCCTTTAAAAAATATTTTGTCATTTTAGTTGCAAAAAAGTATGACAGTAATCAATATGACCTTCGGGTATAAAAATATATAGTAAATCCTATGGCAACAAACTCCACGAATATGAAAATCTGGTCTAGTGGAACTGGCCCCCATCCTCCAACCCAGGCCCCCATTCCCAACACTTTAAGTTTCTCTGGAGAAGGCATGTGGTATTAGTGGTGGTGGTTAGAAAGTGATGGCCTTGTGATCAATGGGGACTTTCTCAATTTAGTGAGCAGTCAGTTTGTACAATAAGTTTTAGTACCTTAAAAAAAAAAGTTTTGCCCTAACCGGTTTGGCTCAGTGGATAGAGTGTCGGCCTGCGGACCCAAGGGTCCCAGGTTCGATTCCGGACAAGGGCATGTACCTTGGTTGCGGGCACATCCCCAGTAGGGAGTGTGCAGGAGGCAGCTGATCGATGTTTCTCTCTCATCGATGTTTCTAACTCTCTATTCCTCTCCCTTCCTCTCTGTAAAAAATCAATAAAATATATTTTTTAAAAAGTTTTACTACCTTTACTTTTGTCCTTTCTGTGATAGTATAGGCTAAAACATACTTTTAAAAAATTATTATTAGCCCTAGCTGGTTTGGCTCAGTGAATAAAGTGTTGGCCTACAGACTGAAGGGTCCCAGGTTCAATTTCAGTCAAAGGCACATGTCTGGGTTGCGGGCTCGATCCCCAGTAGAGGGTGTTCAAGAGGCAGTCGATCAATGATTCAATCTCATCATTGATGCTTCTATCTCTCCCCTCTCCCTTCCTCTCTGAAATCAATAAAAATATATTTTAAAAATATTATTATGGCAGTAATATGACCCTGTATTTTCACAATTCGATTTTTGGGTCCTAGCTAGGTATTATATTTTATCATATTAGAATAAAATCTTGTGGAAAATTTGCAATGAAAACATAAGATCAAAGAGAAAAAGAAAAGATGTAAAATTTTAAATATATTTATGTATTTTCTATATGGTTGATGGTATTAGGACTTCATTGGATATATTTGAAAGAGTGATGAACACTTTTTAAAAATGTCAATATTTATTCTATGCTGGAAATTATATCTTTTGCCAATATTTAAGAACAGCATCTAATGTGCAAAGGAACAGAATATCTTTTTAAAACTATTTTTTTTAAAGTGATTTGCACAGGGAGTGCTTGTGAAAAACAAAAAGTTTAAAAATCGCTGCTTTAGAAAGAGGAAACTTAAGCAATGACCCTTTTCAAGGCCAAAGATACTAGGAGCAAATACTTTTTTATCAGCAGTACATAGACTGAACAACTAGGAAGGAGAGCTTAACATTTGTTTGCTTTTTCTGGCCCCTAGAGGGAAAGCCAAGCATAGACAGGATTAAGCATTTCTGTTATTGAGTTGGAGTCTCTAAAAATGCATTTATGAACCATAGTTACAGGGAAGGGACAGCTCATATCTCTAATTCTACCCCGGCAGCAATTCCTTCTTTATCAGAGAGTAGTCAAGACCTAAGCTCTGTACCCTCTGCAATTTCAGGAAAAGGTGCTGACCTCCTGGAATATATTTTATCACCACTAATCATTTTTAACCAAGCATCCCTTATGTGTTAGGTTCTAGGGATACAACGTGTAAAAACCCCCACTTGAGGAATTTACAATCTCATTAGAGAAACAGAAAAAACACTGCGATCAATACAAATCTGTGTAATACAAATTAAGGGGCCAATGAGTATAACAGAAAATGTAATGAACAGCCCAACCAGTATGGCTCCGTGATTGAGCATCGACGTGTGAACCAGGAGGTCACAGTTCAATTCCCGGTCAGGGCACATACCCGAGTTGCAGGCTCCATCCTCAGTGGGGGGTGTGTAGGAGGCAGCCAATCAATGTTTCTCTCTCTCTCCCCCTCTCCCTTCCTCTGAAATATATACACTGAGTGGCCAGATTATTATGACCACCTGACGTTTGTGGGCCAATTAGCCATACACTGCATCGTATGGGATATGGAAGCCGAAGGCCTGTTCGAACACCTTTGATGTCTGCAGTTACCAAGACAAAACGTCTCCAGCCGTAACCAGTTTGGCTCAGTGGATAGAGCGTCGGCCTATGGACTGAAAGGTCCCAGGTTCGATTCCGGTCAAGGGCATGTACCTTGGTTGTGAGCACATCCCCCGTGGGGGGTGTGCAGGAGGCAGCTGATCGATGTTTCTAACTCTCTATCCCTCTCCCTTCCTCTCTGTAAAAAATCAATAAAAAATATATTTTAAAAAAAAGTCTCCAATTTGCACAGGAACACAAGGATTGGACAGTCGAGCATTGGAAAAAAGTCATGTGGTCCGATGAATCACATTTCCAGTTGCATCATGCAGATGGCAGAGTGAGAATTTGGCAGAAACAACATGAAAGCATGCATCCTACATGCATGAGTACAACGCTTCAAGCTGGTGGGGGCAGTGTTATGGTTTGAGGCATGTTTTCCTGGCATGATTTGGGCCCTTTGTGAATTGGAGATGTTTTATCTTGGTAACTGCAGACAGCAAAGGTGTTCGAACAGGCCTTTGGCTTCCATATCCCATACAATGATGCGGTGTACAGCTAATTTGCCTACAAACATCAGGTGGTCATAATAATCTGGTCACTCACGTTCAAATATATCCCATGTTCAAAGGGTGTTAAATCGCGTTGTTTACCCATATCTTCAGAAAAAAATCACTTCTACTGTTGTGGTAAACAACCTGCTTCCCTATTTATAATGGTCTGGCCCTTTAGCAACTTCAG